TGAAGCATGTTTGAGAGGAAGTGTTGGGCGATCAAAGCAGCAGCTCCATCGTTGTCACTAGCTCTTAAAGAACCACCCAACCTGGTGGTGTCTTCCTGAGCGGCAGCTTCTGCAGTTGGCATGACCGCCTTTTCTGACTTGCCTTCATGGATGGCAAAGAAGTCTGCAAACGATCGGAGAACGATGTTTTGTAGGATTGGAGCATCTTCCTTGAAAGCCTGAGCGAAAGTCTGCCGTGTGCGTTCTCTGCCGAATTGACCAGGCCAAGACTGGCATATAGATCCCAGGCTTTCGAGAGCCATGACCCTCAGGTCAAATGGCGAATTTGATGCAGTGAAGGGAATAATGGAGTCAACCATTAGACCCGCAACTGAGCCACCGGCCCAGGTGGGGAATTCACTCTTGAAATGAGACACATACTTCTCAAGATCGCAATGCCGCCCAACGCAACCCGCAATGCGAATGTAACTCTTGGCACGGGCCAAGATTGCAGCATGTGTAGCCGAGGAGAGATCAACACTCTTATATTGCTGTAACGGTTTCAGTACTGAAACTGTCAACTTCACCAGTCTGTTCGTATTCTGCAAAACACTGTTGATGGTCCACAAACAAGCCATGACTTCGTTCAACTCCGAGCGGGCGAGCTTGGCAACACTCTTGAAAAGGTCATTCTGCACTTCCTTCAGAAGGGTGTTGTGGGACGAGGATAAAAATGGCAAGACGCAGCGATAGATAACCACAACTGACCGGAATATGAAGAGATCATCTGCGGTAGAAAGATGTCCAATGTAAGGATGCAGGGCCTCCAGCTGATCCGGGGTAAACAGCTTCGCATTCGACTTGGCAAAGACAGTTATTGTCTGTAAAAGAGCTTGCTGGAATTCTTTGCTGGATCCATCTGAATCCTCCACCAGTCTCTGGAACATGGTAGAGACCATCGCCTTGCAAACTTTGAAGTTCAAGGCCGCGGACTTGGATTTGTCCGAAAGGACCGCTTTCAAGCAGACGCTAAGAGACTCCAGGGCAGTTTCGCTGCGCTCAGTCAAGCCAACGATGAGGCTTACCTGCTCTCCGAGAGCCATTTTCAATTTTGGCCCTTCGGACGAGGAATCAATGGATTCGTGGAATGGAAAGAGCCATATTTCTTCAAAGGTTTGGCGAGCCAAAGATGCCACACTCTCTTCAAGGTCGCCTGTGCGTTGGAGGAAACCGTCGAGAATGGCCAGCTTCAATTCCTTCCGAGATGTTTTGTGGTAAAGTTCCTTCAAAAGCCCGATGCAGCGTTTCCGGACACCAGCCGTTTGATCGGCTGCACAGGCCAAAATGCTTCGACATCCTTCTTCTTCGAGCTTAGGCTTCAGACCAATGCATTGTCCGATCAACTGTAGCGCAGAATCACGAACCATGGGTGATGCATCTGTCGTACATCGGTGTATTACGCGCAAAACCGAAGGGTCTCTGTCAAGAAGGTTCGGGTCTTTCTCGAGCATGTAGATGACACTTTTCAAGCTGCGGCTGCGAACCTTGGCCGAGTCACCAAGGAAAGAGGCCAAAAGAACTTTGAGAATGGTGTCGAATGCTTTTCCAAAGTTGGAGTTCAAGACCGTGAGGATATACGCGAATTTTCCATGCACGTTTGGAATTTTGTCGAACTCTTTATGGGTCTCCAACCAGCGTGGGTCTGAGAAGGATCTTGTTAAAACAGTAACCAAATCATCAGTCACCTCATCGTGTGCAATTTCTTCCTGGTCCTCGGAGTTATAGTATAGGGCGCAGGCTGTTTTGGCCCATTGAGCCAAGTAGTAGCCCCGCGCGCTGGTCAGTTGCCAATTGTCGGAATTCTTGTCTTGCAAAAGGTGCTCGAGCGCAATCCTATACGGACCCGTTGGAGTGATGAGGTCTTGATGATGCAGTGCACCAGAAGAAAATTCTTCGAATTGTTGTTTGAGGTAATCAGTCAATTCACTGTCGGAATCTTCCAGAGCCGGGAGCATGTGCTGAGCGGTTGCTATCAAATCGGAGATAGCAGAACCCATCCAGCCGAGAAGCTCCAGTGCCATGCTCTTCGCAGTCGCCGCGCTTTTATCTTGGTCGGTGATTTGAATCATGCGCAAGGCCAAGATCCGGAGAAGCAGTTCTGCAGCTGGCCAATCAGCGGAGCCCAGTACATTGATCAGATCCTGAGTGAAAAGATCCAGAATATTCCGGTACGGCTGGTCACCAGTTTTCGTCGAGTTCATAGCGCGCTGAACGATGAAGTTCACAATATATTGTGCTGAACGCATGGCATTGTCATAGAGTCGATTGGCTTTGTTCGCTAGGCGTTCCAACGATTCGTCTGACCCGTCATCATCGGACTCACTGTTGGCATGGTCCTCGCCATCGCCCATGAGCTCGTCGTCGTCGTCGTCAGCTTGTGCTTTGATTCGACGTTTGCTCTTTGATCGCGAAGGTGTTTCTAAAGCAGTTGTCTGAACAAGCTGCAGGACTAGCGCAGTGAGCAGTTGGATATTTTTCCCATCTGCAACTTTGAACTGCCGGGCATTCTGACGTGTGGTGGGAAGTTTCTCCAACGAGACCAGAATCTCATCCAGAATGAACGGTCGCTGCTCTGGGTATTTGGAAAATATCTTTGCGAGCACATCCATCGCACCACGTCTCGCAGGCTCGTACTTCTGGTATCCTAGGGCAGAGTCCTTTTCACTGTGCGCATTTTCCACGAATATTAGTTTTGCAGCAAAGAACTCCGCAGCCGTAATCGTCCCCTCGGAGACATCAATGCGAGACAAGAATTCTGCAAAAAGAGTGAGGACTTTTTTGCTCTGGTGAACAAGAGTGCCAATGATCCGTTTCTGGGCCGAGAAGAAGTGGAAGTGCTGGCCGTCTTTGCCACCAGGACGCGATTCCACTGCAGGAATAATGCAATGGTCAAATACTTGATTGAGAACGGTGGGAATGGCCTCGATGAGATCTTCTGGACAAAGATCTCGCTCGGTCTGACGCCCAGACATTGTCTGAAGCAGCGTTCCGATTGCAAATAGTGCGTTCAACACATCCTCGACCTTACCCAGCCACTCCTGGGACTCAAGCTCACTGAATGAATCGCCTAAGCCTATGTCAGGGGATTGTGCAGCAATGATTGGCTTTTCGCACAATTTTTGAACGCGGTTGAGATAGTCAGACGGTATGTCCTGGAGTCGGTCAAACCCTGCAACTTTCCGAAGGGCTTTCTGGAGGCGGGTGTGAGCATCAGATGATAGTATCAACGCATGCACTTCGAAAGATGTTGTGTTCACGAAAATGGGGTTTGGTGTGTCAGAAGTTGGGGCAGTCGAAGTATCGGGTTCGATTTGATCTTCTGCTTCAAAAACCTCGTGAAGAAGATCTTGAAGCTTTTGCAAGGCTGCATCTGCTTCCTCTTTTTGGTCTTTGAGTCGCACTGCCGCCATAGTGTCTTGGCCATGGGCTTTCGATTGGAGCTTCTTCACATTCGCGTAATCGCTGTGTTGAGGCACGGGTTTGATTGGAATAACGACGGACAGTTGGCTCGATGTAGGAGGACGATTCTGCTCAAAATATGCTGAGAAAGATGCCGAGTTCGATTTGTTCGCAGCGTATCCGCGCTGATTTAACGAAGCAGCTGGCTTCGGTGTGATGTCCTTATTTTCAGGTATTGTCTTTGAGGGTGCTTCGGGATCTGCGGCCGGTCAGTTAATGACTATGTACAAATGTCCGTGGCATCTCAGGGCTTACATCTGAATGCAACGTCCGTAGAGTCAAGCATCAACCGTGCAAAGGAACCAAGGCTGTTATGACCGGAAGTAGCACCATCAGGATCGTTTGGGCGCAACTGTTGACTTCGTGTAGGAACTTGAGGAAGCTTGAATTTGCTGAATCCAAATGAGTTAACTGCGCTTCAAAGACTTTGGGTTGGTTCCCTTACAATTCTGTCAGCTGGTCTCCATCCAGCAACTGCTGAATATATTCTCGAGACGTTTCTAAACGACTAGACTCGTCTCGCCCAGATTGCATTTCCGTGTCAAGTTCACCCAGTGTTTTGCGGCCTTCTTGGAGGACATGGTTTATAGAAGTGGTGTTTGAAGGTCGACCAACATCGGGACGTAGGATACAGTCTGTAAATACAAGCCGTCAGTAAATTGAGCAGAATTGAAGACGGAAAGAGAACACACGAACCGAGACCAAAGACAGGCGCGCTGGACATGGATGAGTACTGCAGTGCTTCATCCACAGACAGCGGCCTTTGGTTCTGAAACTGCATATTGGAGCCATATTGTGGCATCCGATCATGGCCGTTGACGACAACCTGAACGGCCGGTCGTCCATTCTGATCCATGGTCGCGGTTAAGTCAAAAGAAGTAGGCGCGAGTCACAAAGTTGACATGCTCCTGGTAGAGACATGGCAAAGAAGGCAGGCGCCTTATGATATCCCTAGATCATTTATGTAATTAAAAGTAAAAAAAACCAGAATCCGAAAGGAAATGACCTGAGCTACGATCAAACGCATTCATGAATTCCGTATGGGTGACGGCACCTTTACTGCCGTCTGTGACCGCCTATGTGGAGGCTCATGTGTCAAAGAAAAAAGGTGCATCTTGGATATGTAGGTTATTCGCTGCATAAGGCCCGATTCGTTGTCACTTTGCTTGCATTCTTGATCTTCTAAACTCTCCGATTGTAAGTTCATTTCAGACTCGTCAACATGTCTGGGTTCCTGGATTTTCTACACAGATTGTGGTAATCTCCTAAGAGACTCTACTGGCAATGCGGATGCGATTCTGCACTATGATACATATATTTGTGCATATCCAACAAATACTAATTATCTCCATAGGGAAATTCCAATAATTAATCTTGGAAACACTGATTATACGGAAGATGCGGGGAAAGGTCTATTTTTAGAGAAGGGCTGTATAACTAGCGGGACAAGAGTATCAAAATCATGACCGTCAGGAGACGAATTTCCTTTTTGCAGAATCGAATCATGCAGGAATGGGTGCAGCGGTATCCGGGATTAGCGCATATTGCGTTTCGCCATTTTTCTCGAACTCTGCCATGTCAAGAGCAACAATGACACTGTCCCTGACCACCTGATCTGGGTCATTCAAGAATTTCTTCAAGGTCTCCTCCACACCCTCCTCCTCGCCCAGACTGCCAAGGGCTTCCGCCGCTTCGTGTCGCACCATTCCTACTTCTGACAGGTCACTCAGCGAGGCTGTGAGACTAGGGATCGAGGCAGGGTGGCAGAGTTGTCCGAACACAAAGGCAACTTCATGGCGGAAGAGAGCAGAGGGGTCCTTGAGGCCCTTAGCCAGCGCATTGACGGCGTCGACTGCTGTGGGAAGATCTGGGGGCGAGGCAAGGTCGCGCAGACCGAACATCGCACGGTATCTTTGGAACAGAGGGAGCTTGGTGTCAAGCAGTGTCTTTTCCAGGTCGGGGATGCAGGGTTCGGCGCTGGCCTCTAGGGGCATGGGGGGAGCAGGGTCAATAGAGGTAAAATCACTGTAAATCAAAGATATCAATGTCAGCATTTCTTGGTATATAATCTCACGCGCAGATCGTACCTAGGCTTCAATTTCTCGGCCTTACGCTCTTCTGAGTTCTCCCACAGGATTCGGTCGACAGCAATGTCGCAAGTCTCCCTGATAATATCCAATTCCTTTGTGTCATCCCTCAATCTCTTAAGGATGTCCAAGCTATCCGCGTATCCGAGAGCGCCCAGCGCCTCGGCAGCCTCATGGCGACACATCGCATCCTCCTCGGTATCCTTCACCACATGCTGCAGGTATGCGACAGATTCGAAGTTCTTGGTTTGGCCAAGGCAGTAGGCAAGCTCATGCTTGAGCAGAGCTGAAGGCGACGCGAAACCTGCGGCGATCGCTTCGATGGCGGGGAGGGTCTGGTCTGTGGTAGGCTGGAGGCAGGCCAAGTGCTTAAGGGAGAAAAGAGCGCGGAAGCGGCGAGCAAGTGGCTCAGATTCAGAGACAAGGACCTTGCGGAGAGTAGGAACGGTATTATCTGTTTCGGAAGCCATTTTGAAGGGTGTAGTCAGAGGGGGAGTATAAAGGTGGAAAAGAAAAGTTGGTTAATCTTTTTGATCTTATCAATTTTTAGAGTGGGGAGTGGCGGGGCCCATTCAGCCTTTAGCTGCGCATGGCTTTTTGCTCGTACGTTATTGTCTTCAATGCTTCCGGTATAAGCCCAAGCCATAATCTATTGGCAATTGCGGATTAAACTACCCAGGCACTTAGGGTTTTTAATCATGTATTGTTGTAGGTTTAATTAAACATGTGGCTTTTCATAGGTGGGAGCGTTGATCGTGGAAGATATATGTATGTAGCTTCTTCTTTTTCTTTTTGCTATACAGACGTTCCATATGCAGTCTATTGAGATCATAGGGCTTCAAAATAAGAATCGGCTGAAGGAATTAAATAAATATTCCGACATTTGCTATACATATACATTGCGAGTCATCTACAGGTCCGTAATGGAAACTTGAATGGATCAGTTCGATGCACCACAGAACTAAAGCTAGCCCCTACTTTGCAGGCTTTAGGGCATTTTTGCCGTATGCTCTATGCTCATGCAATGACCTCAGTGGCTATATGATACTACTATAGGAAGCACGTCGTGATCGGAGCACAGCTATTTTGAGAAATACGGGACAGTTGGAGCTACAAGCACTGGTTGACGGACAGGCTTTCCCGGGCAATTTCTTTTCCAATGTCAGAAAATAAAAATAAAAATTGAGCCAGCAATGTAGACCTTGACTCATCTACGCTCATATCATCAATGCTACTGAGGGGGAATAGATACCCTGACTGGAAGCCCTATATTGTACATCGAGAGACCCCCATTCAAGTCTTATACCCTTACGGACTTGAGATGTGTCGATATTAAATGAAGTTTGAAGATGCTGTGTGATCGATATAATGAGCATACAATTAGGGACGGATCTATGCTGGTTAGTTATATCGAAGACCACCACGTTGATTTGAACATGAGTATTTACCAGAGCCACACGAAGGACCTCGGATATATGTACATGCGCAAACGTTCAACGTCACCGCGTAGAAGCAGTATTGACATCCTTCCCTTTCTTTGCTCCTGGCAATTGAATGGGAGTCGACTGGCAGTTGTCAGCCCTAACTCGTGACGCCCAGAGATGACCTAGGTTAGAATGCGATATATTGAAGTGCTTGAAATTGAATTCGAGTGGTAAACTGGCAAGTATGTACATAATACAGTGCGAGGTCAAATCATTTGGTCTTGATATGTCTGAGCTTCTTGGGCTCGTGAACGAAGTTGTTGGCATAGGACTTGGGCACGAAACGGCGTTCGTTCGGTTCCTGGACAAAGTACTCATAGCCCTGCTTCTGGGCAAAAGCAATGGCGTCCTCCTTCGACTTGAACTGCAGGTTGGTGCCCTGCATGCAATCGGCAGACGACTGCCAGCCCATGAGCGAGTTCTCCCAACGGTGACCCCGCTGCAAGATATCCCAATCCATGCGCCAGTGGTGCTGGTGCCAGGTACCGGACTGTGTCGCAGGCTTGGTAGGGCGGTAGATACTGTAAGAGTCACGGGGTTAGTGTGTGGGAGCTAGGCGATACGGCTCGAAATTTGTATAACGTACCGGACATTGCGGGCCTGGAGATCGGTAGGGGCTCCGGAGAGAACTGCCGCGGGGAGAGTGTCGCCCGGCTCGCTGCCATCCATGACGCGCTTGGGCACAGGGGAAAATTGCCTTAATTGAAGTAAAAGAGTCAGTGAAGGGATTTGCGACGGAGCCAAAGGGGAATGCCATACGAGGTGCCGTGGTCAATGGTGGCCTCATAATCCGGCTGGTGACGGGCCATAGCCTCGGAGGGGGTCTCCTTGTTGATCAAGGAGCTGTCCTTGGGAGGCGTGGTGGGAGCATCCGAGGCGCTGGTCTTCACGGAAGGATCGCCCTTGAGCGCATTGCTGGAGACGAAACGGGCATTGACAGGCACAGCGAGTCGGCTGGCCCGAAGGCTGGCAGCACCCCCGATTCTGAACAGTGACATTGTATCTTTTTGGATGCGGGGAATGGTCGTTGCCAGTGAGGACTCCCTTCAAGTGTGGTTTGGTTGCGAATTACAGGCAGGTCACGACACCACCGAATCGGGGTTAGCCGGGCTTGGCAAGCCGAACACCCGCAGGGCTCGGTTTGTTCCTCCTTCCTCCTCCATCAGCTTTCTTTGGTTCACTTGTGCTGCGAATCAACGTAAGTCCACGTCTCTACCACCCTGCAAGTACTCATTGAGAGCTGCTCTATCCAGGGCGACCGATTTCTGACCCCCTTCAGCCTAGACAAGATGAGCTACATTGCCCGCCGAGGTCTCTCGACCTTGATCCCCCCCAAGGTAAGAGCACCCCCATTGATGACTATTTGTAGTCATTCGACTTCTCAAAAGATACTAATTGTTCCTTTAGGTCGCCTCCCCTAATGTGAGTTACCCACGCGCTGCCATCTTCGACTTGTGCATCCCTTCCACACCCGTCCCGCCCCGAAGCCGTTTTTCGTAAAGCCCGGGATTTGATTAAAATGCCGTCTCTCTTTCGCCAGCATAACTGACATGTTCTCAACCAAGGCCATTGGTGCCGCCCAGGATGCTGCCCGCATGGAGCGTGTTGTGACCTTCTATGCTGGTCTTCCCCGTGGCCCCGCTGCTCCTGTCAAGCCTACCGGCCTCATCGGTCGCTACCAGGCCCGCTATTTCAGCGGCAAGAACGCCTCCGGTGTTCGTACGTATTTATCAATTATCCCCTTGCATTGATGCAAGTACTGATTTTGATGCAGCCCTTGTCCACGCTATTGGCGGTATCCTGATCCTGGGTTACAGCATGGAATACTACTTCCACCTGCGTATGTATTTACCAGCTGCTAAACTGCTTATATACCATTTTCATAGTTGTGATATCACTGACTTGATGTTTTTGACTAGGTCACCACAAGAACCACCCCCACTAAGCTTTCCCTTTCCATCGAATGGGTGGAGGATTGATGTATATACTGGATCCTCTGTCCTAGTGCAAGGGAGCTGTGGTTTTAGCGAGAATCTTAGAATCTCACTGTGTTTCAATATTCAGATTTACTATCCTTTGTCATTTTTTGGTAGTTGCAGTAGATTTGCAAGTATACACATTACGTAGAAGCTTGAGTGACGGGCTCTTTCCACATGTAGTTTTCCATCACCATATGAACTTCACGCAAGATATCAAGAAATTCTCGGGAATTTACCATTTGCAAGCAACGGCAGCATCCAACAAATTCACTTTTTAAACTGATCAAATCGTCAGGAAATTAGGGCTTTTGAAAGGAATCCAAGGTGTGTGGGCAGACCTAACAACTTTCGTACGGGCCACGCTAAACCGAAAACAGCGACCCTCAGCTTCAACCCGAGTTGACTCTTGAATCTCGTATCATCCTCACTATCTCTGTACCATCAACCGTCCTTACGCATACTCCCTCCCTCTTTGCCCTAATCCCTTCTGGGACCTCTTGGGCTGCGGATTTCCCCGAGACACGCGCCTATCGATTCCGCGATCGTGCTCTCCACATCGAGCCCAACCTGACACGGGCTTTCTCATCAATATCCGAGAGAGTTGGCCGATACCATCTCTGGTTGTGATAACCCATATATTCAGGGTGCAACCAGTCAAGGAACCAGTGCAACTGTGGCGATCCTTGGTATCTGACGATAGGTATGTCTTGGGAACCTGGCATGTTTGATCTGCAGCTGCCTATTACGTCCCCGGATCTATCTCCCCACTGCCATGGCACTTGGCTTACATGGTCGCAATTATTGTATGGAATAGAATCGAGTATTGTTATGGCAGAGCAGAAAAACCGCGATGTGGTAGATCAGACCCTGTCGGGCGGCGAGGCTTCGCCTTCCGACGTTCCTGCGAGCACCAACGACAATCTATCTGCTGGAGGGGACGCAGGGAAGACCGAGCGTATCGCAACGACTACCACTACATCGAACAACTCAAACTTGAATGATCAGCAAAACCATGAGAAGACGAACACTCTTGATTCACGGGTAGAAAAAGCTGCCGGCGACAAGGATGCTGGAGGCTCGACGACGGTGAGCATCGCTTCTGGATGCGCTCCAAAGTACTTGCTAATATGGGCGCAGGATACTTCTAAACAAGGCGCCGGAGTTGTTGCGACTCGAGTTCTTGAGCTCAATGGACTGGCCTCGGCATCGGACGGCGGAGAGGATACAGCATCACAAGGTGGCTCGGAATCGGATGCGAGCCGACCAGATAGCAGGAATCAGACTCACAGTGGCTCAGTCAAAAAGCCATCTGGATTCAAGCCAGTTTCTTTTGCCAAGTTTTCGGTAAACAAGGTTCCGGGGGCTCCAACACCACCTAAGGTGCCTGAGAAAGGTATGTTCTTTGTCAAACATTTCTCAGAAGTCGGTTCTAACTGGTTCAGCGCCAACGTCTACAACACCACTTGGCACCCCACAGCCAAGCTCCCGACCGCGCTTGGTTGCGAAGACTACACTCGGCATGCGTGATTCCTTTTCGAAGGCTGGAGCAGGCGGAGGCAAGCCTGGTGGATCAGGGCCAGATCCGAATCAAGTGTGGAATAAGAACCGACGTATGTATTTGTCATGCGATGCAATGCGATCACCTGAACTGACATTGATATCCGTGTAGCTGTTGCGCCCGCTCCTCCGAAACACTTGACTGATGAAGAATTGAAACAACAATACGGAATTCATATGACTTCTCGTATCCAAGAAGATGGGGCTGTTAGCTCCGAAGCGAAGTGGGCCGATATTGATGACGATGAAGATGATTGGGCCCCTGAGACGATCGAGTGGACAGATGGAACCAAGGTCAATCTCACTCAACCTCACACTGAACCCCCGCCGGCTCCCAGTAACCGGGAGCCCAAAGAGCTGCCGCCTGTAGAGCCAAGCGTTCCGAAAGAGCCTGTCAAGGTTGCGCCGAAGCCAGCCGCATCAATGGGGTCCCGTGCTATGGTACTCAAAGTTGGAGCTAATGCTGAACGACAAGCAAGAACTGCGAGTGCTTCCTCTAACGGCACAAATGACAAAGTTCCATCTAGCTCCACCAGCCCAGCGCCGCCATCCAAGTCTCCTTGGGCCGCTCTGCCTCCCGTCGAAAGAGTGTCTCCTGTCAATGCCCCGGTTCAGCCTCACCAACAACGCATGCCCTCGAGATACCCCCAGAGAGATGACGGCCACCATGCCCCAATGGCAATGCCACCCAAGGAGATTGCAGCGGATGATTTCAACCGTGCATGGAAAGATCAGTCAGATTTGCCCCAGCTTTTCAATCCTCGATCTTCCCAGTACGAACCGGTGGGTGAAACCAGGAGAGGATCTTGGCGTCATGACCAACACTCCCGTGCTCCTGCGGTTTTGCAGAGGCCAAACGATCATTCAAGTGGACCGGCAGAGCCATCTGCTGCATTCCAGACACACAGGTCTAGTCATCAGGATGGCATGAGTTGGGGTCGTCGTCGCACATCATCAAACGTGAGCGGAGGAAGCGGAGGATTTGGCCGTAGGATGTCAGTTTCCCGATTTGATGCCCCTCCGAGATACAATGATGCTCGCAGAGGCTCTCAAGTGAACGGTCTGGGCGATTCAGCGGTAGTGGGTCACGAACAGCATCATGGCAAAGAAGAAATTGCCCCGTCCGGTCCAAATGGTACAGCACGCGCAGCTGTTGATGTAGGTATGTCTCCTGTGGAAACACAGGCGGTTCCTCAAGTTCCGCAAGAACCTCAGGAGGACCCTGTTGCTTTGCAAGAGCGTATTATGAAGGAGAAACGTCTAGAGGCGAGGCAACGAAGGATCGAGCAGGAGGAGAAAGAGGAAGCGGCTAAAAAGGAAAGGATTAGGCAACGTCTCGCGGCGATGGGTCCTGCGCCAGAGAAGAAAGCTCCGGAAACGCGCAACCCCCCCTCCTCTCTTCAACCTCAACCTCAGTCTCACACTCTTCATCCTCCCCAAACCCCTTCTCAACTTCCTGTTCAACCCATCCACTCTATTTCTTCACCCCCCAAACCTCCTGTGCCAGAGCCCAATCGGGAACCCAAACAGTATGGTATGATGAAAGTGCATCATCCCGACTCTGTCAAGAAACTCGTTGGTGCGCATGAGCGGACATCTGAGAGCAAACATCTCAACCGACGTGTCTCATCACCCCACCAAGAATCCCATCGTGACTCCGCACCTCCATCTGCCTCACACTTCAAAACTGAACCTCATTCACCTGTCCAGAGCAAGACATCTGATCCAAAGATCGAGGAGCAAGGTACTCAGTGGCAAGGGAATTTGACTTCTACTTCGCCCTGGTCCCATCCTAACATTGCTGTACCATCTACATCTGCCAAAAATTTGTGGAAACCGTTTGGCAGTGACCGCACTCCAACTCTCGGTAACGGCATCTTTGACCAACCTTTGGGGACTTTCGCATCGCGCGAAAACCCTCTAGGCCAACTCGGCTTAGATTCGTCAAATATGTCTACCCCTCCCAATTTCTCTGCTCCTAACGAGCCAACCGACTCTTTGCCGCCACCTGAGGCACGTCGCCCCTCGTTTGGACCCCTCAATCCAATTGGACGCCCCGGCCCAATCGGACCGCCGAGCACACGGAATCGTGCCGTTAACGACTGGAATAACTTCCATGAGAACGCCTTGGAGAAGGAATCAGAGAACGCTAAGGAATTCCTGAAGCGACTTGATGAGAGACGAAAGGGAGCCCCAGCCCCGCCACCCGCGCCCGTGGTTTTCGCTGAGACTTGGAAGAAGACCCGTGCCACTGAAGACGGCAGACGCGTCGTCACGCGAGTCACCGAAAGAGTTGTCAACAACGAAGAAGACATCGCCAAGGCCAAGGCGGCCGCGAACCAGCAACCCAACCCTCTTACGAGTCTTGATACTCCTATGGATGGCCTCAGCATGTCTGACATCGGTGTTCGTCCAGCCGGCAATGTTTCTACCCGGAGCTCTCGATTCTTCCCTTCGGCATCTGAACAGTCGAAACGCCAGATCGCCGAGAAGGAGCGCAGCAGTCCTTCGCCTCCTCCTCCCGAGGAGGTTAGCCACCCTGCCTATTATGGAGACGCCAAGCGCCCCAATGTTAATCTTCCGGCCCCTAAACCTCCCAAGCCCGTCGTTAAACTCCCTCCGAAGGCCATTGGTGCCCCGGCGCCCCCGCCAACATTTGCTTCTATGGCAGCTGCGCCGCCGCGTAACACGGTGCCTCCTTCTTCCACTGCGCTGTCGTGGCAGGACAAGATCAACGGCCTCTTCGGCAAGACCACTCCTACGCCGAAGAAGAGTGTCTTAGCTGTGACATCAGCTACAAAGGAGCCTCTTCCTGTCCACGCTAGCGCTGTGTCTGTCTCTATCCCTCAGACCAAGATTGGATCTCAGGCTGGCGATGGCGATTTCGCCGTTCGACAAGTCAATGAACAGGATGAGATGTTTGAAGACCGTGAACCCGGCTCTTTGCCTGCCGTTCGTGTGCCGAATATGGCGCCCCAGAATTCTTGGAGCGCAACTCGTCCATCAGAACGACCCCGTGGGAAGAACTTCAAGCCGGTGCAAGCGCAGAGCATTCAGCCGTTCCTGGTTGGACAAAATGATCGGGATGGTCATGGTAATATTTGCGCTTCGGTTTTCCTTCCAGGTGGCTCTGAACCCAAAACCGTTCTCATCCAACGCAAGGCTGGTCCGCCCCGAGGCCGCAATACCAATACCAATGTCAGACCCCGCAAGGGAATCAACAACAAGTCCAATGAAGTTTCCGGTGGCAACAAGAAGCCTACCTCAAACACTGTCCCGCGACAGCAACCCCGTCAGCGGACGGGCTGGACCCCGGAAAGCCCCACTTCTCGTTAAGAAGTTTCGGTCTTCCAAGCATATGGCTTATGCCAAAGCGTTTCGATATTTTTTTCTTGCTGATTCATCTTGCCTGGGAGGCGAGAACTTGGGGGTCATTCTCGCCGACTCCTACTCGACATTTGTTTCCGACTCCTGTTGTCATTACCCACTTCGTTACTCTTTTCTGAAGTTAGGCCCACGATTCAGATCCTTCCTCTACCCCCTTCACGCATCCGCGTTCCTCATGTACTTGTGATTTTCAATTTCTCGCCTATTGTGTCCCTCCCCTGACCGATTCAGGACCGCAGCCTCTCTTTTGGCTTTTCATGTGTGGATGACCATCGTCTTCCGATCCAGCGTCCTGCTTGTGCAGTCATTGCCCGAGTGGTGCATGCTTGTTCCGACCTAGCAGTATCACATTGCCTCATGTTGCCGAGTATTCAGTGAAACCAGCACGGATACTTACCAAGAGAATTCCATTGTTACACAATTCCATGTTCTGTTTTAGTGTAAACGTAACCTCCAACTCTCAAGATAGGTAAAGAGGGTTTGGCATTTCAAGCAGATACATGCAGGAAGCGACAGCGTTGTCCATATCGCACTCTCACCCGTCAAACTCCCACCATCCTGCTCTCTAGGTATTGTGAGATGAGCACTAAGGTTTATTCCAGCGATACTGCCCAACTGAATGCGATGGGTCAGGTCACGACCAAAAGCTCGATGAACCGCTCGTTCTGAATCGCTCGTTCAGCTATGGGCTAACTGTATACTACAGGTTACAGGGGACAAAGCACGCAGTCGAGACCTCAGCGAGAACATATGACCTGAAACCGCCACAGAGCCTGCATTCCGGCTGGTCTATTCATTCAGACCCTCCGATCCATACCACCAAACTGCGTACCATGCCCATGAAGCCACCGGACTCCTGACCTGGATCACGCTCTTGCGCCGATTCCTACAAATAAATACACCGAACTCGAAAGACAGGAAGTTGTCTCTTTAGAGCCAGCAGGTATGTAGCCCGGCTACAATCAATGACAGGGGGATCCTCGGACTCTCTGTCAAGTATTGCTGGCTATGGGCATATCTATGGGGGCAGCCACATCCCAAAGCCGCCTGATGGGCGATGGATAATGACCAGTGACTCTGGTGCTTTTATTTGGGCGTTGGGTTAGGAGCAAATGTATACTATTGCTAAGACGGGATACTCGGCCTTGGTACGGGACTATCGCGCGTGATTTCGGCGGTGGTATGGGGTGTCGCACGCTTTATGCCCGAGCTAAGTGTGGGAATATGGGATTCTTTGGTTGTAGGAGGTTAGTCTCAAGCGTTCTGCGTCTTATTGGGCTGTTTTATATGTCTTGGATCGCATACTCGGTGTTGTTGAGATGGATATGGAGACCTGGGAGCTCTTTGTACTTTATGAGAATTTAAGTAGATAATTTGAGTACGTTGTCAGTTTATAATCAGGATTGGCTTTATTTGATTCACGTTCACATCGATAGAAGTGAGAGAAAGGTCGCTGTCTATGACGATTTCATATTCCGAGTAGTGAAAGGCTTTTAATTAAAGACAGGCTCAGAAGCATGAGCAGAAAATAGTCGAATAATTTACACATATGATAGGTATCAACCAAGGAAAGCCCCTATAAGGCTCAAGATAAACGCCCTGTCCCTCGAATACGCCGCCCACCAACCATAATGTCAAAACAGCCGATCAACACAGACGTGGTGCATCTGCGATGCCACAAGTCCGAAGATGACCAGAGTTTTGACGTCCATAACGCCCCCAAACCAAGCCCGAATATCCATTAGATAACCACGCATATTAAAAAGCCAGCTCACATGAAATTGAAAAAAGGAAAGTGAGCAGGACCTTCCCTCACCAGTTCCAGGTCCGGCTGGAAGCAGCAAAGACAGGAGGCTTCCACTGGAGACGGGCAGGATCGATTTTGCGCGCGCCCTTGATCTCCTCCTTCTTGAGACGCTTTTCGTGCTCCTCCACGACCTGGTCTGTGAGTACAATGACCCAATTACCCTTCTGCAAAGAGAGTTAGTAAACGACATGGTATTGTATGTACTGCAGTGCAGTGCACACTTGGAAATGAGACTTACGTGGTATCGAAGCATGTTGAATACAACCAGAGTCTCGTGGACATCCTTCTCGGTCATGGAAGTGAGCACCGCGAGCTCGTTCTCGCTTATAGCTTCTCGGTTTGGCTCAATCAGCAATTCCACTAGAGTCTCACGCCAGTACTGTCGATAACCAAGTAGACCGAGATCACTGAGTGGCTTCTCAGGAGAGCCGAGCTTGCCTTCCCGCTTGCTGAGCTCGTAGCTGAACGAGATGAGCAGACGGCCGAAGCCGCGGCGCTGGTATTGCGGCAAAGTCATAATACACGCCAAATTATACCCTTCAGCAGAGTCCTTCTCCTTAGAGAAGTAGCCGACGAAATGGCAGCCGGTTTCGTCGCGCGTGGTCATGCAGTAGAACAAGAACGGGTCGACGTCGTAGTAAAGCGTCTTGTGGTCGAGGAAGAGCTTACTCAGGAGACACAGATTCCGGCACCAGGTGCGCTGGCGACGGCCGTCGACTTCAAAGAAGGAGATGTAGTCGTCACGGTATATCTCATTACCGGGTGGGTGGGTCAAGGTGCATTTTGCGCGATGGCGCTCAAAGGCACGCTGGTTGTCGAAGTAGCTGAGGCAGAACTCGTCGATATAGACTAGGTCGACGTCCGAGAAGGAATCCGGATACGGGGAGAAGTACCACGGCTCGACGTCGTACTTGCCCATCTGGAGGCGGGTCAAGTTTCGTACGCGATGAATCTCTGTCGGGTTCTGTGTCATACTACCACCTGTGCGGAGTCGCTCGATTTCCTCCCCGCGTGTAATCACCTCGCCCGTTGCCATTTGGACATGATCTTCTTTTACCGATTTGCTTTCCGCTGGAGCATCTGCCATCTCAAAGTCCTCTGACTCGGTGGCCTTTGGCGTGGCGACTGCTGACGCAGCCTCGGATGGGAACATCGAGGTGTCTCCTCCAGGTGTATCAGCACCGAGGTTCTCTTTCCCTCCAGCCTTCGAGGGCCGAGCCAACTTGCCAACATTCACGTTCTTGCCGCCCAGGATATCGGGTGTTTGTGACATATCGCGGCTGTCAGCCCGGGAACGCTTAGTCGCGCCCACATTCTTGCTGGGCGCCGCTTTGCTGGCAGCGGCGGTCTTCTTCTTATCAGCCTTGTCTGGCTGGGGCCATTCAACTTCTTGGGAGAGATCGATGCGAGAAGACGCAACCCATTCTGGAAAAGAGTCAGAACAAGTTCAATGTGACCCAGTGCACTTGCTGCGGTGGGAACTTACCATCAAGACGCTTGTTGAAATCAACATAGTGTACACTGGGATCTATGTCAGCACCAATTCAAAAAAGCAGACATACATGATATGAACAGAGGCAAACGTACTAAAAAGAAGGACCATCCTTCCGCTGTCTAATCGATAGAATCTCAGCTTTTCGCAGTTCTCCATCCTAAGCAGAATAGTCAGTATCAAAGCCCATACTGGGGGTTGACCACGCTGATTGATAATCACGTGACGTGATCACCAAAATCTGCGACCACAGGATCAAAACGAACCTTCTGCACCATGGCCTTCACACCTATTCTATGAGGGTGGTTAACATCTGCGACCGATAAATGTAGGCATAAAGCCGCCAAGGCTAGTTATTCCAGACATAAAAAGCGACATACCTGATGGTGTTGAGTGTGGCGAACCCCTTGTCAACGGGGTCGGGCGTCCCCGTCGTCTCCCCGTGGGAATCTCGGACGCCCATTGTTGAACTGGCAGTAGGGACTGAAGCAATACCAGAGATGAAAATGATGGAATCAAGCAGATACTGTGGTCATTCGATGATGGGGAAATGGTGGCGGGAAAGGGAGCAAACTGGGAGGTTCTTATGTAAGCTGTTCCGCATCAGGGTTCCCCCCGAGTCTATACAGGGCTTGATATACATTTTCGTGAAGATTTAGAAGACTAGACAAGAGGCAAGTTGAATTTCTTCATTGCTTGAACCATCCAAATGATAATGCCGTAAACACCGTCTCCTTTTTTTCGAAATTTGCATCCCCTTCCATGTTGCCATGCCATGATCTTGTAGACAAAACACAAGCCCAAACCAACGCCAAGCGCCTTGCAATGAATTAGAGACGAAGAGCAGCGAGAAAGAAGTCATATATCCCAGCCAAAAGGCTATATAAGTCTTTCTAATCACCCTTCGTATTTCCGCTTGATACCATTCGTATTTGCGGATGGCGGCATAGCCTGGGCTCTCCGTTTTTTCTCCTCGTCCCCGGCAGCCATGTTGTGCTGGCGCTGCTTCCAAGCTGTTTTGATGATGGGAGCGAGGCGGATAAGATCCTCTTCGGTGACGCGGTCCTCAATACTTTCAAGAACCTTTTCAACAGTGGAGATGTGGTTTGCATCGTTCTTGTCATCACGAATACGATAGAAGCGCCAGCGTCCTTCCGCATCTTTGGCACACTCAACGATAGTGTCATCGAGAGGAACGCGCAGGGCTTTGAGATCTTCCCATTCCTTCGGCTCAACGAACATTTCTCCAAAATGACGGTACTCGCCAGCATTGAGCATGACGAACAGGTGGCATATCGGGATAGCGTCGTAGTCCACATAGGGCTGGGTGATACCATCAGCCTCATCTTCGGTATCTGGCTCAAGCGTCGGAAACTCGAGGCGCATACGGAAATCAATGGTGTTCTCTTGGGGTGGCTTCCACTTGAGGATGTGCTCGTCGGTGCCGATGCGGTACGGAGTACTGCGGCAAGTAAAGATGAGACCGTCGTTACCGTGAATGCGCTTGACCTTGGGGATAATTTCGCGGAACATCATCTCAATGCCGTAACTGAATTGCGTGGATTTGTCCTCGACTGCGAAGGGGCGGTGGTTTTTCTCCTCCGGGAATTTGCGGTACATGGCATTGTATGGCCTGAGCACCTTTTCCTT